AAATGGGGAGGCACAACACATGAAAGACTTTCATGAAAGACTCTAAAATCCAGGGAGTTGCAAGTTCAGAAAACATAAAAGTTTTCCTCAAGAGGCTGGGACTGGTTACAGCAATTAAAAAACATGCTGCCTGCTTTCAAGGAAGTTGTTAATAGGTGCTTWAAAAAAAAAAAAMACACAGATGAGGAAGAAAGAAAACCAACATTCATTGAAGCCCTACTGTGTGGTAGGAACCTTCCCGCCACACTCCCTTATCAGAAGATGCTCTACATTTATTCAAAAGAGGAAACTACAATGGTGGGTGTTCTTGAAAGCAATTTTATATTCCTAGAAGAAAATACCAAACAAGCCAGGATTTCAGATGTTTATAACAGCTAAACAATCATAATGAGACAGGGCTTGTGACACAGCCCTGCTAGCTATCTGTAGAACAGATGACCTCTAAGGTCTCTTCCAGTCAAGGTTTTTTGTGATCCTATAAATAACTGAGAATCAAGGGCAACAGTGTTATCCAGAGCACCTGGGATAAGCACCTGCTCCAGGAAAGCCTTGCCCACAGGCACAGCCAATTCCTCATAAGGATGGCAGTGATTAACTGGGTTTGTAATGAGTGCCAACAGCACAATGAAATCAAGTGCTGTGATGGCTCAATTAACCAATGCTCTGGAAACGGAGTGTCTTTACAATGCAGTTGGCTGTTCTGCCCCCAAACTCACCATAAATCATGGCTGTTGGTGTGTGCTGCATGGCTCACAGTAATGCTCTGAGTTGGGAGATGCCCTCTGTCCACTGTCCATGAACAGGGCAACCCTAGGTCTGGTCCTTGGTTCTTTCTTGGCAGAGACCTTGCCCCTTCCCACTATCCTTCTGTGTACACTGTATACCTGCTGCAGCCTGGAGGGGAGGTGGCCAGGCCTGACTTCATCATCTGCTCACTCCCCCACCCACTTCTCTGGTGTGGCCCACTCTGATTGGTGCTGAAATTCCAAATATGGGCCAGGCATGGTCTTCCTCCAGAGAGCTCACAGTCTCCTGTAGCCCCATACACAGACACAAATCCACATAATTCCTAGAGTTTGGGGCAACACTGAGGCAACACACTCATTTCTTTAGGTAGCAGCTGGAACTCACACATGCAATACTATCCCTGAAAAAAGGAAATGGCTTAGTGTTTCAACAAGAATGAAGAACGGATCTGAATACAGAGTCTTCCTGTGATTAGCAGAACCAATTGCTCTCAGGAGTAGGACTGGCTCTTCATGCATCCTTCACCAAGTAGAGCATGACAAACGCTTGGACAGGGAAGAGGAACTTGCTGAGCCTGGCATGGAATGACAGCTGCTAAAGCTGCTGGCTACAACTCCACCACTCCTGGGGAGTCTGTGCTCTTCAGACTGCTCACAGTGGCTGGGTCTGGTGTGGCCTTTGCTCAAAATGATCTCCAAGTCCCTTCCATACCAGCACCTTGTTACAGAAGCACACCTACTCTGTTTGGAGAGGCAGAGCAGACTTGCTCTTCCATCAGCAACAGTCCTCTGCCTTGTGAAGGACCACTGACTTGGAAGTACCAAGCAGAAGCTCAAGGTAAGGATATTATGTGGCCAGGACAACAAAGAGAAGCCTAGCAATAGGTCCCAGATCTGCCCAAGGTCACAGAGATACAATCCACATGGCCCCAAAGGCTAATCTTAGTTTGATCAACATTTGGGATCAAAGGCCTAAAATGAAATGGGTTGTCTTACTGTGGTAGAACACAATGATGGGGAAGCCAGGAAGCATTCATACTTCTCTAGCCCAGCAGCATCCACTCTGAGTGGCTAGCCCATGACATCATTCTCTAGTCACCTGAGACCTAGGATGTGCAGCTGAGCAGGTAGTAGGGTTCTAGGCTTGGAAGGCCAGTGAACATGGAGCCAGGAATACAAAGAGAACAACCAAGCTGACTGTACAGAGACAATGGATAAGAATCTGAGGGGAAGAACATTGGTGTCAGTACAAACAAACAACAGTCATCTCAGCATACCTGACCCTATTCCAGTCCACAGGAAGGAAGGCCATCCATCTAGAGTATTTAGATAGGGTAGAAGCTGGGTTAGGGAAATTAGTACCCCAACCATGAGTGAGGAAGGTGCAAGCTGCAGAACACCAGGCAGTGGCCATAGCTGCTACTGCTCTTCAATCTTTTCTCTACGCCCCACTTGACTGAGGAATAGCTAAAGGCACAGGATCTTGTCAAGACCTGGCTGTTGGTTTCACTTATTGTTTTTCATTGGGTCAAGAGTGGGTCCAGCAGGGCTGACAAGGTGCTGGGATCACATCCAGTGCTCTGTGTTCCAGTTCTCCATGCAAGAAATTTTCCCCTATCTCAAATCCCTGAGAGCTAATGATAATTAAGTGCCTAAATCCTGTCCCTACCTCTCCATGTTCCAGGGCCTTCTGCAGAACAGGGCTTTGTCAAGTTCTCGATGCTATAGTGGTAAAGTTAGAACTCGAGTGGGCTATGGGAACACCAGGTGGCCGGGCATCATGGTGTGAAATGTGTGTGTATGGGTGGGGTATCCTGAGATCCTCTGTCTCCATCTCTATATTGCAGCAATTCCCCAAGGCCTAGGTTTTCAATTTCCACTTTTTTTTTTTTTTTAAAGAGAGTGTGTGTGTGTGTGTGTGTGTGTGTGTGAGAGAGAGAGAGAGAGAGAGAGAGAGAGAGAGAGAGAGAGAACTTTTAATATTTTTTTAATATTTATTTTTTAGTTCTCAGCGGACACAACATCTTTGTTGGTATGTGGTGCTGAGGATCGAACCCGGGCCGCACGCATGCCAGGCGAGCGCGCTACCGCTTGAGCCACATCCCCAGCCCTCAATTTCCACTTTTTAAATGCCTAACTTGTCGGATCCCCCACCTTGGGCTTGAATTAGCTCTGCTCCACAGTTATGGCCTTAGTCCACCCTCCTATACCCATCTGATTTCTCACAGCCATCTCAGTTGGCTCAGACTTCACCAAGCTGTCACAGCCTTCAGGAACTGCAGAGCCATAACGATACAGTGGCTGACACTGACAAATTACTAAAAGCCTAGCTAACAGGGCTAAAGCACTTATTCTAAGAAGTTGTTTTATCTATAGTTAAGCCCAATATATCCTTGGATAGTTCAACTGACAAAAGTACAAACCATCTAAGGATGGCAGATGAACTGACAGAATACACAGATAAAAGAAAGCAGGTCAGCTCAATTCCCCATCCCTATCAGAGCATCCTGGAAAGAATCCAGGCGATTCCAACTCAGGGAAGAGAAGTGGTAATTACAACTGCACCATCCCATGTCTCCCAGAAGCTTAAAGAAAAAAATTAAAAATGAAATAAAAATAAGGCAACTACTACTATGTGCCAGGCACTTTCACGTTTCCTTACTATTCACCAGCCTCACCCTCACCCCATGCACTATCATCCTGCTTGAATAGATGAAAAAGCCAGTTCTTGTGTATCTAAAGATGCTTGCCAGCACCAGCCTGCCTAGCCTCCTCAGAAGTGTGAGCTTAGCCAGGTCACTGCCTCCCCTTAGACCTTGGTTAAAAAATGAGGAGTTCTGAACTCTTTCCCTGGATAGGAGAAAGGGTTGTGGCAACTGGAAGAAAGAGAAAAATCACAAGCCAAGTCACCTTCATCTGCAGTTGCCATGGTGCTGGAAGCACAAAGGAGGCACTTGGAGAACACAGACTGAAGGGAGAATTTGCCTTAAAAATGGGATCCTCATTAGATCAGAAGGCTCCAGCAGGTCTTACTGTGGGGGCGGGGCAGGAGGTGGATTTCCAATGGAGGCTTCCTCATGCCTTCTACTCTGTGAAGTGAAGGGAGAAGCCTACACCCAGGCCCCAACCTAGAGCACAGCTTCCAACTGTCTACTTCCTGTTGCCTAGGAAGGCTAACCTAGAGGCAGAAGTCAGGAGAAAATGCAGATAGGAATGAGAAGGCCAGAGGCTACTGCATGGGTCTAGGCAACACTGTGCCTAAAGAAGAGTTCAGGTCTTAAAACAGAAAATATTACATGTGAGGTATTCCAAAGGCAAATTTATTTGATAAACTTAGAAAAAGGAATGACTTGTTGTTTTTTGTTCTTTTTTTAGAGGCCAAATAATTGGGAAATCAAAACAGAGACATGGTTCAGAGGATAAAAACACACACTGAATTTCAGATGACAACGTGTAAAAATGTCTGGCAGGGTAGATGCAGACTGAAGACTATAAAGCGGTGGGTTTATTTATTTATTTATAAAAAGACTTTGTGGTATTTCTGCTGGCATCCCTTCATTTTACTCCCATAATAATATGGCAAAAATGTGGAGAAAGATAGCAGTATAACGAAAGTGCCAGGAAAAAGGTATTTCACAAAATACACCAAACCATTTAATAAAAATTGACTTCCATGTCTAATGACATCAGAACCAGACTAGATATAATACCCAATGCTGGCAAGGGTACACTAAACTGGCATTTTCATAATGCTGGAAGAAAGAATCCTTTTGGAAAGCAATTTGGCAGTATGTATCACGAGCCATAAAGTGTTAATATTATGGCCTAATATTCTAGGAATCTAGCCTAAGGAAATATTCAAAAGAAAGCAATAGAACTGTGATAACAACTGAGGATATCTAGCACACAAAAATGTTCATTATCTATAGTAGAGAAAAATTGGAAGCCACTTAAATATGCAACCATAAGGGAGAAATTAAGAGCACTATAGGCCCCTGATGGAATCATTATATAGGCATTAAAATGTTAGTTACAAAGACAGTGTGGTAACAAGGAAATCTGCTTTTCACTGGATCGCTATATTTTTAAAAGGACAGAGGAGCAGGATACGTGACTACACAGACATTATGATGATAACTTTCATGTTCAGATAGCTGGTTCTGGATACACCTTTTTCCTCCTACTTTTCAAAGGGATGGTACTTCTTTGGATAGAAATAAGTGAGAATGTTAAAATCAGCAGGTGGGGCAGTACCTTGGCTCCATCCACACTGATGATCCGATAGCTATTCCTCGTGACATCGTAGAAGTAGGAAACAGTGACAGCTTGCTTACTTGCAGGCACCCAGTTCTTCTTGGTGCTGGGGTCAATCTGGAAGACATGCGCTCGGGTGGTGAAGATGGGCTGTTCTCTGTAAGAGGAGAGATGGGCATGTAAGTTGATGCAACATGACTTTTATGTATAATTTATGATTTTTAGGCTACCTACTACCCCAAAAGACTTTAAATAGCTTATTCAGAAAGATACATATGCATGAGGACAATTAAAATAAAAAAAATGGAAGAAAAGAGAAAAAGACACACCAAGGAGTAGTTTCTGCAACCCACACTCCGTTTGCAAGGCAACTGGCCTCATTGAGCAATTTGCTTAAAATGCAACTCCCTGTTGAGAATTTCTGCATCCCTGTCAAGTGTCCAGTTCTTTCTCTGACATCCTGTTGACATTCTTAGGATTTTTGGAACCATTTCAAATTTATTATGGGGGATTCTGTAACAAATTTAAGATTGTACAAGCCATTTATTGCTTAATGTTATATTTCTACTAAGTACTTCTCAAATTTCCATCATGATTTTATATCCTTCTGGGTATCTCTTTAATTTACTTTTGGAATAATTTAAGGACTTTACAGCTTGACCAAGCCTTAAAGTTTTATGTAGAAATCATCAAATTCACCTCTTTTGCTATTCTTGAGCTACAGTGTTCTGCCTTTTTCTTCATGTAGTTGCTAACCAAATTAGCACATTATCTGTGTTTCTTTCTGTTTAGTGGAGAATTAATTAGATCCTAACAATAGACATTAATAAATAAGGCAGATGAATAAAAACTGCAATGGATTGCACTACATAATCACATTTTAAGGTACCTACTTCACAAAATAACACAGACTCATCACAAACTATATTTATTTCTGAAGACAGGGTCTTTAGGCAAACTGTCTCAAAAATCCTTTAAGTGTTCAAAATAAGATGAAAATTGAAAAATAAAAGCAACCAGCTTTGCATAAAATTCTACATATTTAATAAGGACTTATTAGAAGTACAAAATTAAATCAAAAGGTTTAATTTTAGTTTAGTCAAATTAATTTTTAAAATTCTTAAAATGTCAAAAGAGAGGACATAAAAAAAATGGACACCCAAGTGTATACAAAAGCCAAAATAGAAAGTGAATCTAAGTGCACTGGTCTCTGAATGGAGTACTTTTAGGCAAAGCAGTCTTTGAACTCATCCTGACTGTGGAAGAATCATTATTATAAAAGAAAGCTCTTAAGGAGAAACATTTTCCTAGAAAAGCAATTTGCCATTTGAGCCTCATGCAAGGAACATGGAATAACATGATGGATGTCAGCATAGTTTCAGGGAAATGAAGAAACCTTCTTTATGACTATTTCTCCAAGGGCATGCTAGTAATGCTACTTGAGTGCAGTTGTTTCTAGAAGCCAGAAGAACAGCCAGAGACTACCACTCTTTGCTCCCCGAAACTTCTTTTCTAGGTTCCCCTGAGCAGGACAAGTGACTCTGGGAATGTGGATTACTAGGATATTTCACTTCCCTCAATAAAAACCAAGTTCACCCACCCACTCAATCCTAAACCAACACCCTTTCCAGTGCCTGGGTGTCAGCTGTGGAAACAAAAGGAATATTCTCACTGTAATTTCTCACATCTGTTGTCAAGAGGCCAGGCTGTGAGGAAAATGTGCACAATGAATACAAGCTCTTGCAATCAAGTCCACATGGGGAAGTCTGATGTCTGGATGGCCCAGCTGTGCCACTGTCAACACAGCACTGTATTTTTCTAATCATCTAAATAAAACACCATAAAGAAAAAAACACTTCTTCACATACAACATTCCCTTGCATATGTAAGAAGAAAGAGTGATTTAAAGGGCAGTCACTACAGAAAATTTTCAGAGAATAAAACTGTACTCAAATCTCTGCCTCTCTCTTCCACAGCACTGAATGGAGCCCCATGGGTCAGAAAGAATTCTTCATTAGGGAAGAAGCCCAGGCTTTCAGATCTTTCATCTCGTTCCTTACACTGAGGTAGAGTGACTAGATCTAGGTGTTGGCAAGCTTAATATTTCTTCTGCCATCATGATAGAAATTAGCTCGGCATTTACTAAAAATATGAGTTCTCAGGCCCCATCCCATGCCCCCTGGAATCTGGCTCTCTGAGGAAGAGGGCTGAGGATTCCACTTCTAATAAGAATTTTGGGTGATTTTTTTATCTTCAAGGAAGCTGGGAATATGGTCACATTGGATATTATCAGGTTATCTAAGGAAAAATGGAAGAAGTAAGCCCTAAAACCAGGATTTCTCCCCCAGAATGAAAAAAAAAATTATACATCATGATCCCCACAAAATTCTCCCAAGCTCCAGGGGGCCAGCAATGGGACCCAAAACAGGTTCTCCAGATGCAAACAATGGAGGCAAGGGGCAAAAGAAAGGGAATGATGGAAGGCAGTTTGCAGTGGCCAAGCAGGGCCCTCCTGCAAGCGCTCTCTGCCCTGGGGGCCTATAGGAATGAAAAACTGAGGACAACAATGTGGAGAGAGTAGAGGAGGAGGGCAGGGAGACAAGAGAAGACAGCAGGGCTTTCTGATCAGTCATAAGCAAAAGCAGCCTGCCATTTGCTTGGTATGATTGAGGCCAAAGTGAGCATGTAGACCAGAAGGGCTCCATCTCCAAATTCTGCCGTCTTGGCTCTGCAGATGGACTGAAGTTACCTTGGGTTATCCTTGAGACTCCATCCAGAAATGCAAAGATGTAGGGAGGCATGGTGAACTCAGCTGGACACACCCTTGGTCACCATAGCCAAGTCCTCCACAGAGAAGTGGCTTCTCTCACACAGAGATCCAGGAGGGGACACTGCAGGGGGTCACACCAGCCCCATTCTGAGGATGGTCACCATGGCAGGTAGCTATAGCCCTCCTGAGGCCAAAAACTTTTGTTCCTCAGTCCCAAGGCCCTGGACAGATGGGAGAACCTGCACAGCCAGACTGGCAGCAGCTCTGTATACAGGTACCCACCCATAGGACTACGATTTCCACATGAATAACCAAATCTGAGAGCACTGGGGAGTTTCAGGCTGTTCTTGAAATTGTTATTTCAAGAAGCAAGGATGAAAAGAACAGCCAGTGGCTGACATTTACTGAGTGTTTACTGTTCTACAAGGCTTTACACGTGATTTCTCACTTAGGTTTACAACAATCCTATGGGGAAGGTGCCACACAGATGGAAAAACAAGAGGCCAGGTAAACTGCCTTGTGTCACATAGTTAGGAAACGGCAGATTTGAGCTTTGAAGTCAGTTCTAAGTGACAAAGAAAGCCTCCCTCTTAACACTCTTGCCCTAAAATGAGAGTTGTTTGTAGTATGCAGCTTCTGAGGTGCCTCCCAATGTAATCCCCTCCCCTTGAATATGGGCAGGACCTGTGACTTGCTTTTAACCAATATGGGAAAGGATATAGGTTGTCACTTGTGTGATTTCTGTCTTCCTAGCAGACTCTCTCCATTGATTTTCTCTTGCTGACTTTGATGAAACAAGCTAAGATGATGGGGAAACCCAAGTTTCAAGGAATTGAGAAAGGACTCCAGCCAACAACCAGAGAACTGAGGCCTTAATCCAATATCCCTGGAGGAACTGAAATTCTGCCAACAAACACATGAGCTCAAGAGCAGACCTTTCTGCAGTACAGCCATCAGATGAGACTCATACCTTGGCTAACACTTTGGTTAYAGCCTTGTACGAGACCCTGAAGCAGATGATCCAGCTAAGCCTTATTCAGMTTCCTGACCACAAAAATATGGTTCTTATATTAACACATATTAATTGTATGAATTAATGGGATTTATTATGTTATTTCCATATATGCACACATGGAGCATGGATAATGCCCATCCACCCTTCTACCCCCAACCCCCTTCCCTTTTCACTCTTGCCAGCACCCTTCCCACTCTCTTAAAGTTCCTTCTTAATTTCTTTCTCTTTCCCCTGCTTGCTATACTTCACCATTTTTAGTGACCACTATTCTGCTTCATAGTTCCATAAGACTGACTTATTGTTTTCCCTAAACAAGTAAGAACATTGTGGTATTTGGCTTGTTTCACTCAATATAATCCTCTCTAGTTCCATCCATGTTGCTGCAAATGACAGTATTCCATTCTTTTTAATAGCTGAGTAGTATTCCATTGTGTAAACATACCACATTTTCTTTATCCATTTCCTCACTAAAGAGCACCTAGATTGATTCTATATCTTGGCTACTATGAATAGTGCTCAATAAACATGAGAGTGCCCTTATCTTTCTGGATGTCAAATCCTTGTTGGATGTACCATTTGCCAATATTTTCTCCCATTCTGCAGGTTATCCCCTAATCCTGTTGATTGTTTCCTTTGCCGTGCAGAAGCTTCCTAACTTGATATAACCCCACTAGTCTGTTTTTACTTTTGTTGTCTATGCTTTTGTCCTATCTTTAAAAAAAAAAAAAAACTTTGCTTATACCAATCTCTTGAAGTGCTTGCCCTATGTTTTCTTGTAGCAATTTCATTGTTTCAGGTTTAAGATTTAGGTCTCTGATCTATTTTGAGTTGATTTTGTGTATTATGAGAGAAAGGGATCTAGTTTCATTCTTCTACTTATATCCAATTTTGCCAACACCATTTACTGAAGAGACTGTCTTTTCTCCACTGTATTTTTTGGTTCCTTTGTCAAAAATCAGTTGGCTGTATGAGCATGGATTAATTTCTGGATCTCCATTCTGTTCCATTGGTCTATGCATCTGTCTTTATGCCAGTACCATATTGTTTTAGACCACCCCAACCTTTTTTGGGAGGTGGTGGTGGTGGTGGGGATTGAACCTAGGGTCTGTGCACACTAGGTAAACACTCTTACCTACTGAGCTATGTCCCTAGCCCCACCATGCTGTTTTTGTAATGGCTTTGTAGTATCTTTTTTTTTTTTTTTTAAACATTGTGGGATAGCTTTTTTCTTTTTCTTTTTTTTTTAAAGAGAGAGAGAGAGAGAGAGAGAGAGAATTTTTAATATTTATTTTTTAGTTCTCAGGGGACACAACATCTTTATTTGTATGTGGTGCTGAGGATCGAACCCGGGCCGCACACATGCCAGGCGAGC